ACTGGAATTTTTTTGTAAATTTAAATTTCGCCATTATTATTTGATTTGTCCGTTTCTTATTTAAATTTATAACTAGAATAATTGTTTTAAGATATTAAAAAACAAATAATTCGATAACATTATTAACGTTATTAATTTGATACATTTTGTTTATGAAATGTTATATTACGCAAATAATTCTAAATATATATTTTTAAAAATACAATTTAAGAGAACCTCCGTAGAAAATTTTTGTTGTATCAAATGTTATAAAAACCGCCAAATATTTTGGATATTTTATATTTTTTCTTATCGTGTATTGCATTTTGCGCAATTTTATAATAAAATAGACTATGAATTTTTATTGCATTTATATATGGAAAATATTAAAGTGAAATTGCATAAAATGCAATACACGATAAGAAAAAATAGAAAAATTTTAAAATTTTTGATATTTTTGATAACAAAATATGCTGTCAGAGTTGCAAATAAATAATATTCGTTTTCTCAAGTTTATCAACAGGCTGTTATTGCCTTCTAATTATTATTATAAAGAATTATTTCACAGTTATTTATTACAAAGAATTATCTCAAGTTTATCAACAGGCTATATTGCCTTCTAATTATTATTATAAAGAATTATTAAAAATTATTTTTATTATAAAGAATTATTTTATTATAAAGAATTATTATACATTCAATGCATTCCCTTCTCGAAGATGCATTTATGGTTTAATTATAACGTAATTGTTACAAATATAAAACGAATGATTATACCTTATAACACGACAAATTAACTTATATGTGATTTATACATGAGGGTTTATGTGAATATTACTTGTAATTGGATATAAACGTTTAATCTATTTATTTTCTATTTATAAAAGAATTTACAAATTTAACTATTAAATATCAGTAAATTTTATCATTTTATCAATTTAGCAACAACGAATAAATTGATTAAAAAAATTAGCAACAGTTAATGAAACATAGTGTTCAAATATTGATAAAAATCAAAATTTAAAAATCTTAATAATAAGATTTATTTTATTATAAGATTTAATAATTAATAATAATTCTTTTTATTCAACAAATCATTTAAATATCAACGGCTCCGAATATGAATACACCTTTAAGAAAAAAAAAAAAAAAAAAA